GGGGGGGGGGGGGGGGAAATAAGTCTCAAGGCAAGGAAGTCAGGAGGGAGTCTGAAAGGGTTCAAGAAAATAAAGACCCCCACCGTCCCACCAAAGGAATCAGATTAAATCCCTCCCCCCCACCGGCTCCTGCCCGGTTTCTCCTCCTCATGTATGTTTTCCTTTTTTTTTTTTTCTTTCAGTCCATTGTCTTTGTTTTCGGTTCCATGTTGTGTTTTTCTGCCCACCTCCTGTTCTTTTGTGGACTGGTTTTGTTTTGTTTTTCTGTTCTTCATTAGCTATTTACAAGTTCACAGTATGGGCCTCTCCCAACACGGCCACTTTCTGCCCCAGGGTGAGGCGGGGTCATTAAATCTGGACCAATCTCCATCTTCCCACCCTGTCCCTTGCGTCCCTGGTGGGCCTTGACCCATCCATGGGGCTGGTTGGCTCCTTCTGTCCATTAGGGGCGGCTTTAGCTATTTCCAGGGGCTGGACGTGGCTTCTTTCAGCTGCTTTTCCCCCCAGCCACCCTCGTGGTGCTCTCCTGCCCCATGTGTCATGGCTGCTGTGGGGATGGAGTTTGTGGTTGCTGGACTTGAGTCCCGTTAGAGGAGACAAGCTTCTTGTCCTTGGAGCCATGTCGATATTGTTCGGATGGGATGTCTGATTCAGAGCGGCGAGACGGCTGGCAGCTGCGGGTTGGGGTGCCCGGGAAACGGGGCTGCTGCCCGTTCTTTTCATCTAAATGTTGGGGGAAGTTCAAACATTAGGTTAATTTCACCACCAAGGGTCCCCTCCCCAAATGTCCAGAAATTGGCCTCATCTTCCAACACCAATTTCAGAAATGGGCCTCATCTTACTTCTTACAAATAAGATGAGGCCCATTTCTGAAATTGGTGTTGGAGGATGAGGGATTAATGACATCCCAAGATACCTGATTTCAAAAAAGTACCCAATGTCAATTTGTTAAAGGAAACACACACTTGCAGATTCCAAATGTATTGTGGCTGAAAACATTCCAGGACCAGAGAGTAGAGACAGAAGATGCTAGATCAGGAAAAATTCAGTTCAGCATCCCAGTATCCAGAGAAATCGACTGGAAATCTCTGAGCTTTCAGCAAGCAGATGCTCAAGGCAATTGGTCTTCCCTGTTTTCCTTCCCCACCGCAAGTCTTCAAAGGTCTTTTGGATCTGGAGGTTTCATATAGCTATCGTGATTTGATTAACATCCACTGATAGACTATCTAACAGCCTGTCCCTTTGATGGATGGATGGATGGATGGATGGATGGATGGAGGGATGGATGGACGGACGAACAGACAGACAGACAGACAGACAAAGGGAGGGAGGGATGGATGGATGGATGGATGGATGGATGGATGGATGGATGGATGGATGG